TCTGGGTACGCCGCCCTCTCTGAGGCCATTTTAGCCCTCTCTTCTCCCAGCGTCCTCTCAAACTCCACGATGCACCCATCCGCTTCTTCTTTGTCTTTTAGGGCCTGGTCGCGGAGATCTTCGTTGTTGGAGAGGGCCTCTTCTGACCTTTCCTTGGTAGTGTTGCAGGCTTCTTGGACCTCGCCTACTTTTCTCCGCTCGCCCGCCAACTCAAACTCCAATGATACCGCCTTATAGCACACCACTTCCAGTTTTGATTTGATGACGGTGAGCTTGGAGGCAACTTTGGCTTGACCTATTCTGGCGCGTTCTGCCAAGTAGCTCTGTATCACTGCCAATACTTCCATCTTTATCGCCCTTTGCACATAGTCCAAGCCCTTTGCACAAGCACACCGCGCAGTTTTTCTCCAACCCGCCGTCTCCACCCTTAAGTTTTGCAATTGTGCCTTTACCCCTTCTAACTGGGCCTTCAGTGGCTCTGCATCCACCCTCGCCCGTGTCGCCTTATTCAGCAGGGCCGCCGCCAAGGTCGTCACTTCCATCTACGTTGAGAAGAACCTTCTCAGGAGGTCGGCCTCCGTAAATTGTGCCACCGACCTCACGGCCGCATCCTTTACTACCCCTAGGAGACGATCTGCGACGACCCTGGCTTCGCCCCCCTTCTCTTACCGAACGACCGACCATCGCACGAACATGATACGTGGTGGTCTTCAACGCGGCGCTCGTCTCCGCTCTACTCACTCGCCCCCTCTCTACTCCGGGACCTAGGGACACTTCTTGTACCGGCACAATCTTGGACAATTGGTCTTCCAACCCCTCGCCTCCTCCTAACTGCTCTGGCTTAGCTGTTCTACTCACTACTTGGGCACTTGGCCTCTCCCACCTCCATCATGGTCTCCTCCACTTCTACTTCTTGGGATACCTCCGACATCCCCTTCTTCGCCTTCTTCAGTACTAGTCCGCTTCACTCTCCTCCTCAGCCGCCCCCATTTTCTTCTATTTCTTCAACACTGCCTCCACCTCCTTTTTACTCCTCTTCTTCAGTGGATCCACTGGCGGTGGCAGTGGCGCAAAATTGGTCAAGTCTTTCTCTCCCAGCGGGTTGGGGCATGGTCGGATTCGCTCCTTCAAGACCAGCTTGGGCGCACAGCCTAACTTTGATTCTTTATATTTATCCGCCTTGGCGAACGTCCTTTTCTCCTCTGCCTCTTGCATCTTCCTCCTCGCCTCTAACTCTTCCTGTGCAGGGTCCTCCTCGGTCGGTTGTGGCCCGAGATTCAAGGAAAACAAGGTTGAAGGCTGGATAAGGTCATCCCACTTTAAGCCCTCCTCTCCCTCCACTCCTTTACTCGTTTCACCCTATTCTCCGCCTCTGCCTCCAGCCTTGGCTCCGCCGACTTAATGGGAATCTTCTACATTGTACGCACCTCGCTGTCACCATTTGCTGATACATAAAACCACCTTGGTCTCTACCCCTTCACCGGCTACAACAAACCCACCACTACTCCACTACCCACCACCGCCTGCAAAGTTACCCATGTTTCTTGTTGACCAGAGGCCTTATAACAAGAAAAGAACTCATCCACTATCATCGCCACTCCTTCGGTCGCCCGTGGCCATGAGATCGCACAGGCCAGTAATATTTTTCCATGCATTGGGCATCAGTTGACCTGGCACCACCTCCAACTGGTTCAATACGTCTACCACTATTTGTGGGAGTGGCAACCTCAGACCCACCCGCAACGCCTCCTCATAGAGTGTAAACTCCATCGGACTTGCATCCGACGCCCTCTCCTTCGACGTTGGCAACTTCAACTCTATCTCTGCTGGAATCTGGTACTTCTTACGCACCTCCTCTAGCTCCTCCACCGTAAACGTCAATTTGTCGGCCTTGGTGTGCCAGTGGTCAGGTCCCACTTGGCTAATCGGCCTCGCTGCCACAATCATTGTGGATGGACGAGGTCGCACCGCTTGCTCCGCCCCTCTTTCCTCCCACCTCTCCGTCCTATATTGCTCCGCCAACTCCACCGCATCATCCTCACCTCACTACAAGAAAAGTGGGCTTATGAGACGAAACTTTTTGCGACGGCACATTTGCCGTTGCAAAAAATGACTTTTTGCGACGGCACAACTTACCGTCTCAAAAAATGTGACTTTTTGAGACGGCACAACTTGCCGTCGCAAAAAATGTGACTTTTGGAGACGCCACAACTTCCCGTCGCCAAAAAATGTGACTTTTTAAGACTGCACAACTTGTCGTCGCAAAAAATGTGACTTTTGGAGACGGCACAACTTTCCGTCTCAAAAAATGTGACTTTTTTTAGACGACACAACTTGCTGTCGCCAAAAAATGTAACTTTTTGAGACGGCACAACTTGCCGTCGCAAAAAATAGAGTATTTGCGACGACAGAAATTGCTGTCGCAAAAAAAAAAAAAATAGAGTATTTGCTACGATACCAGCTGCAGTCGCAAAAAAAAAAGTAAGAGTTTTTTGCGATTGTAATATGTACCGTTGCAAAAAAAAAAAGTTAAAAAAAATATATATATATATATATATATATTGTGGCTTTGAGACGGCTTCATATATATATAGTCATAAAATGGTTTAAATAAATGCAACGGTATTTTTCTGTTACAAAAAAAAATAAAAAAATAAAAATGACATCGTCTTACTCTTTTGAACATTTCTCTTTTCACCCATTTTTTCATCTGTCTCTGTCTTTGTCTCTCTTCTCTTTCTCTCTCTCACTCATAACTCTTCTCTGTCTATCTGTCTGTCTCTCTCTCTATGTGTGTCTCTATCTCTCTTATCTCTCTCTCTCTCACTCATCACTCTTCTTTGTCAGTCTGTCTGTCTCTTTCTTTCTCTCTATCTCTCTGTCTCTCTTCTCTTTCTCTTTCTCTCTCTCACTCATCACTCTTCTCTGTCTGTCTATTTGTCTCTCTCTCTCTTTCTCTCTGTGTCTCTCATTCATCTTTCTTCTCTTTATCTCTCACATCTCTCTTTTCTCTCTGTCTCTCTTCTCTATCTCTTCTCTTTATCTCTCTCGCTCTCTCGTTCATCTATCTCTGTCTCTCTCTCGTTTATCTCTTTTTGCTCTTTCTCTCTCTCTCTCTGTCTATATCTTTTCATCTTCCTTTCTCTCTTCTCTTTCTCTCTCTCACTCATCACTCTTCTCTCTCTGTCTGTTTGTCTATCTGTCTCTCTTTGTCTCTCACTCATCTATCTCTTCTCTCATCTCTTTTCCCATCTCTTTTCTCTCTTTGTCTTTTTCGCTCATCTCTCTTCTCTTTATCTCTCTCGCTCATCTCTCTTCTCTCTATCTTTCTCTCTGTCTCTCTCGTTCACCTCTCTTCTCTTTATGTCTCTCTCGTTCATCTCTCTTCTCTCTATCTCTCTCTGTCTCTCTTTTCCATCTCTCTTCTCTCTATGTCTCTTTTCTGTCTATCACTCTCTATCTCTCTCTCTTTCTCTCCCTCCCTCCCACTATGTTTGCATTGCTCACTCTCTCACTCCCGTCTTCTCTATTTACTGAGCTCCCTCTCGATTTATCGATCCACTATAAGAAAATGCACTTTTAGAGGCCACTTTGTCTCTCTCTCTCTCGCTCATCACTCTGTCTCTCTCTCTCTCTCTCTCTCTCTCTCCTCTATTTGTCTCTCACTCATTTCTCTCTCTCACTACGCATCTCCTCTACCACCTTCACCACTACTGGAAACGCCATTCCACCACCACCACTACTTCTACTGTCGCCACTTCACCTCTACGACTACCATTACTACTACTATCGCTACCACTCCACTACCACTACTGCCACTACTACTACCATTACCTCTCTTTCACCCCTGCCACTCCATTACCTCTCTTTCACCCCTGTCACTCCATTTACACTACCACTACCACAACTTCACCACTAATCTCTTTCACCATCACCATCACCATCACCACCACCATCATCATCTCTTATCCACCACCTTCACCACTGCTGCCGCTCCCTTTCCTCTACCACAAAAAATTAGTTCATGATTTTTAGTAACTGAAAAAAATAGGCCGCAAAAAAATATTTTTCATTGACTATAGAAAATTAACTTTTATTTTAGTGGAAAATATTTTTCATTAAAATATATATTACCCCTACTTTTGCCAAATAAAAAATAATAATATTTTTTTTCATTAAAATAAAAATGAAACAAATAAATTTTCAATCTTAGTAACTAAAAAAAAAATTAAAAATTCATTAACTACAAAAAAAATAAATTTATTTATTTATTATTTTTCATTCCCGCCCCTTTATTTTTTTCTATTCCCGCTTCCCCCTTTATTTTTTTCCCATTCCCCCCCCAAAAAAAATCCCCAATCTCAAACCCCAAAAATCCCTAATCTCTTCTTCGCCCCTCTCTCTCTCTCTCTCTCTCTCAAGAGAGAGAGAGAGATCGACGGTGAGCGGCGGTAGACGACAGAGAGCAGCAGACGAGGGCGAGCGGCGGCAGATGACTGCAAGCAACAAACGAGGCTGCTGTGTGAATGGAGAGCGGCAGACAAGGTTCCTCTGTTGCAATCATCGTCTATATGAGATGGTTGGCATTATTTGTTTTGTGGTCCCTTGTGGAGGCTGCTAGACAAACAAACTATGGTTAGGGCTTTCAATGTGAATCTATGTTTGTGAATGTGATGAAGCTTTGCTCAGGTTTCATATAGTTTGGGATTTGTTAGACTTACAAGATGGGGTTTTTAGATGCAAATTGAAGTGTGACTTGTACTAATATTTTCAAACCCCCAAAAAACTCAAAAAATTCATTTTCATAACATCTATTATTGAACTGGTTGAATTTCATTTCTTATCAAACTAATTTAGTTTTTTTTTTAATCCCTTTTTATTTCTTATTATAAACCAACTTGGTTTATTTTTATTTATGTTCTTTTTTTCTTGTGTTGATAAACGGTTTCTATATTTAGAAAATAGTGCAAATGTGCTGGTTTGGGTGGATTGATTCTAAGATGAGGGATGTTGCTAACAACATCACCAGTCAATGTAGTCTGTATACGATTATTCATTGTTTAGACATAAAGGAGTACAATGAATAACATGATTATATTTGCAATACTGCAAAGAGGAACTAGGTGTTGTCAAATAAGAGTGTTGTGTATAGTTCACTTTGTTGCAAATTGCATAGTGAGATAGACTCTAGACTCTAGGTTATGGCATGATATCTTTCAGAAAATTTATAGGCAGTTTATTTTATTTTATAGGCAGTTTGGAAAATCTGCGAAAACTTTGTTCTTGGTACGTGTACTATAATTTATGTATTTCCTTTATTTTGAGACCTAGTCTTGAGGGCTGCAAGTGAGTTGGTCTAGCAGCAGTTTCAATTCTGCAGTAATTATGGTTTGTAGAGATAAAAGGGAAATTACAAAGAAATGTGCATTTGGTAACTTGTGTTGTGCATAATCCACTGTATGATTTGTCCATCTGATGACACTTCTGATTGGCAGTGAAACTTGGACCTGATGGTATATACTGTCTATTAATATATATGCATAAGTATATATGCAGTGTAGAAATATATGATATACATACCCTCAGCTTCTCATGGTGTTGTTTTTCTTTGCTTTTGTAGTGCCAGAAATTCACTCTAGCGAAAGTGGGCTAAACACTTGTAATCGGTGCTTCCAAGTTATGCTATCTCCACAGGTATATACTGTAAGTGCGATTGGCCTCTATGTAGATTGCCAAATAATGTTATCTTCATCTAGTTAAGCTAGGCCATTGTTATAAGCTTAATAATAAACATCGACACAAGGAGATGAAATTATAGGTTTCGTTATTGAGATATCTATGTCAGAGAGGGCAGTCTTGCATACGATTTGACATAATCAAGAAAACAGTTCACTTTTGTCTATTGTCCTCCACTATTTTACTTTTTGGTCAGTAGGAACGGACCAACTTCTTCTTTGTTACACCTCTAGCTTTTGATGAACTTGCTCGACTTAATCAACACTTTCTAAACATTGGAATGACACACGTGGTTTTCCACTTGCCTTTTGCAATTGCAAATTTAATTTTTGGGTAAAAGAAAGAAATAATTGTTTATTGCCATTATTTTTATTGCTTTTTTGGATAAGTTGTCACAAATGGCAATTTGAGAAGCATCCAACACTAACCTCTAATATACTGTATGCCTCTTTTGATCTTTACTGAATGGCAAATTGTATTAGTCCCAATAGTTGAATTTTGTAGTACTATTTTTTTTAAGAACTATCATGTTGCTACTGCATTGTGCCTCTCTTCATATTTGTCAGTTCAAAAGGGATTCAAGCAGCAGATCTTAAGATTTTGAGAGAAAAGCTAGAGCAAGAGGTAGTTTTTAAAGCACTTCTTGCTTTAATTTGAAATTTTCCATTTCATTTGTTTAATGTCTTCTCAACATGAAGATCTAAAACATACACAATATCTTTAAGGGGGGCCCCAATCTAGTGCTGGCTTCTTGGAAACTGAAATTGTGACAATCCTATTGAAAATGGTTGGAAGCCATCGTTTTTGCATAAAAGTAATTTTCCTTAGATTATTAACTGATGGTTTCCTAGAAGCAATCTTCAAAATGAAGTTTCAAAATAGGCTCTGAGAATTTATTCCCATCACCCTCCTAAATCACATGCTTGTAACTAAAATATTTCTTTTGCTTGCGACGAGCTAATGTTCTATCTATTGGATTTGCAGATATCATTACAATGTTACTGATTCAAGGCTGCGCCAGCATGTGGAGAAGGGTAATGAAGATGGATTGTATATTAGCTGTGTGGCTTCTGTAACAAATCTTTGGGCTGTAATTATCGATGCGGGAACAGGTTTCTGTTCCCAGGTCTATGAACTCTCAACTGTGTTCCTTCATAAGGTCATTTTTCAGATGTTTTGATGCTATCATGTGTGTGTTTAATTGTTGTATGTTCATACTCACTTCCAATTTTTTGTTTCTTATCAGGACTGGATTATGGAACAGTGGGAAAAGAATTACTGCATCAGCTCGATCGTTGGTGCTGTTAATGGGAGTTCCTTGGTTGTTATGTCTAAAGGTTAGTAAAAAAACTGTTTTTATAGAATTCATATAAATAGTTTTCTTTATTCATATATTTGTTGTTTGCATAAACTTTTATGCTACTTTTATAATTTGCATTTTCTCACCACAAGATAAAGGAAAAAATAGCTGAAAGCATGTGTGCCTTTAAGAAGTTGATATATTACCAACAAGATAAGTTAGTAAAGATGCATATTATTGGGGTGACATTTAAGTTTTAGATTAGGAGTTTGGCTAAGTAAATTTTCACAATTTGAAAATTGCTAGATTTTACTATTTTGATAACTGATTGTGGTAGAGGAGAGAGGATTATTTTTAAATCATAATATCCTTTTTTTTTTTTTTGTGTGTGTGTGTGTGTGTGTGTGTGTGGTAGTTTAGCTAGAGTTTTTTCATGGAGGGCCTATTTGAATTAGGAGTTCGTACAAAGATTGCTTTCTTTAGGTGAATAGCATTAGACTTATTCTCAATGTAGACAGTTTGGGAAGGAGGGTGTTTTTTCCTCCTAATTTGGTGTGTACGTGTAAGAAAGTTGTATTCAGTTGATTTATTGCTTCACTATGAGGCTGCTAGGCCATTTAAATTTGTAAGAAAGTGGTTTTGTTTTTTCAATTTAAATTTTCGTTTAAACTTGATTTGGACTCACTGATTGATGTTTAAGGCCATTTAAATTTGAAATTATCATTGCGGTCATTAGAGACATTACAAATTGATCCCATCAAACGTGTTGTTGGGGGTTAAAAATCTTCCTTGCTTGTTCCTAGGTCTTTTATTTCATTTTTTTTAATTATCATCTTATTTAAAGGTCGTATATTAATCTCTATTTGATGAATAAAGGATTGTAGTTACAACTTACAACATTAGAAAGAACTATGATTTTAAGAAGTCCGTTTTGAGTAGTGTATAAAAATTTGAATCTTCCAAAAGAGCATTTGAAGCTTGCTTAACCACAAATTAACATAGTTATGGAACTCCACGAATAAAATACCTGCTGTATATAGGTCTAGAGGTTTACATCTTGTTGTGTAGCATATAGCTCAGTCTAGGATATATCTACACCTTTATGTGTACAAACATAATATATGCATATATGCCAATTAATTGAAGGAAGATGAACTTTTGTAAAGATACTAGAAGGCTGACATTTCTTTGAAGGTGTCATAACTTATTTCCATTGCTTAATTTTCTCATAAATGCATTTGTTCTCATTGTTGATTGAGATGTTTAATTATCCATGTGGGATTTGATGACTAACAAAAAAAATGTTGTATTTGATGTTATGTGTACAAACATAATATATGCGTATATGCCAATTAATTGAAGGATGATGAACTTTTGTAGAGATACTAGAAGGCTGACATTTCTTTGAAGGTGTCATAACTTATTTCCATTGCTTAATTTTCTCAGAAATGCATTTGTTCTCATTGTGATTGAGATGTTTAATTATCCATGTGGGATTTGATGACTAACAAAAAAAATGTTGTATTTGATGTTGTTGGGACTTAGAGCCAGATTTCAGAAATAATTTTTATGTTTTTTTGTATTTAATGCGATAGTAGTTAAATTTTTATTTTTGTATTTGATTGAGATGTTTAATTATCCATGTGGGATTAGATGACTAACAAAAAAAATGTTGTATTTGATGCTATAGTAGTTAAATTTTTATGTTTTTTTGTAATTAACATTAACACATAATTATATTGTCATTAATTATTTTTATTTTTATTTTTCAGATATTTCCCATGTAGGAGTGTGCTTCTTGTGGAATGCATGCCTGTGGAGAATGTGGCTAACTTTTGTTTTTATTATCTACGAAGAATGATAAGAAAAATTGGTTTATGTTATTTTGAATTATGAACAAAATCATGTATATATTTAAACATTATATATGTATTATGGAACATTATATAGTGGGATAATTTTGTTGATGTGTAATTATGAATGGAAGAATATTTTATTATAGAGAAATTGTTATTTTTATACAGGAATTTTTATATTACTATGTAATTATTATGGAGAAATTTTAATATTTTTAATAATTTTATCGCAGGATGTTTTTTTCTTTTTTGTGACAGCATTACACCGTCGCAAAAAACAGAAAATTTTAATATTTTTATTGATTTTGTTATAGGTTTTACTTTTTGCGACGACACTAAATTGTCGCAAAAAATAGAAATTTTATTTTTTAAAATAAAAAATTTATTATTTTTTTTTATACTTTTTGCGACGGCGGTACACTGTCGCAAAAAATAGAATTTTTTATATTTTTAATACTTTTTGCGACGGCACCACACCGTCGCAAAAATAGTGTTCTTGCCGTTGCAAAAAAAAGACTATTAGCGACAGCATTTTTTGCCGTCTCAAATAACATTTTTAGCAACGGTAAAATAGTGCCGTCGCAAAAAGTCAAGAAATTTCAAACATTATTAGCGACTACAAAGTGCCGTCGCAAAAGGCAAAAATGTCGTCGCAAAACATTAGCGACGACACTGTGCCATCGCAAAAACTCGTTTTCAACGCCCCTAGTTGCGACCCCCCTCTTACCGTCGCAAAAAGTCATTTGCCGTTGCAAAAAGTTTTTTGCGACGGCATTAGGAGTATTAGCGACGGCATTAGGAGTATTAGCGACGGCATTTTACCGTCGCAAAAAGCTGAAATTTTAGTAGTGCCTGGCGCCTCTAACCTCATGGCTAGCGTTTCATCTCGAGCCATCTCTTTTACGTTTCTGTGTATTGCTTCGGACGCAGGCGTGAGGAAGTTCGCAAACCGTTGGAGGAGAGCGTCACATGAAACGAATGAGGTCAGGTCTAGGATGTGTTGGTTTCTCGCAATGAGATATGTAAAACGAATAACTCCAAATGTCCACGATTTGCCTACTCTTCAAGGATCAAGGTTAAAACTCGCCAGTTTGAAAATTTCAAAAGTTACTACTCTCGCCTTTTCCACATCCTATCCTAACCCTAACCTTTCGCTTCTTACTAACGCATTACCTCTCTCACCACTGGTTTAGATCATCCCACGTGTACAGCCACGATTCATCACCTTTTTTCCCTTCCCCATCTATTCCACTTCATATCATCACGTGCCTCATCACTCCTCGAACCCCACGCGTCGCCACCACCTCTCACTCGGCCCCCTTCGCGGTCGGCCCTCATCTTAGTCGATCTTCTTGCTCGGCCCCCCTCACGGTCGATCTTCTCACTCGGCCCCTTTCATTGTCGGTCCTCCTCGCGGTCGGTCTTCTCGTTCGGCCCCCTCGCTATGGGTCCTCCTTACGGTCGGTCTTCTCGCTCGACACTTTTCGCGATCGATCCTCCTCACAGTCGGTCTTCTCGCTTGGCCCTCTTCGCTGTTGGTCCTCCTCACGGTTGGTCTTCCTCACGGTCGGTCTTCCTCACGGTCGGTCTTCTTGCTCGGCCCCCCTCGCAGTCGGCCCTCCTCTTGATCGGTCTTCTCGCTCGACCTTCCCTCATGGTCGGCCCTCCTCTCGATCTTCCTCTCGCTTGGCCACCTCACGGTCGATCATACCCCTTGTCTTGGGAGGACACTTCCCATTTTCCTTCTTATTTCCTTCGTTAGACTAAAGCTGCACTTGGGAATATGGGACTACTGACATCGGTGGGCCCACAAAAGGTTTTGGCTCACAACTTAGAGCCCAATCCACGGTTCAAGTACTAAAGCCCAACACTCTTGAGAACCCAATGTTGAATTAGGGACCAATGGCATTTAAACACTTGTCAAGAAAGGAACCGGCTACATAAGCAGACAAAGATCTACAAAGTTATTGCACCCATACATCAGCCGTTAATGAGACCCTGGTAGCATTAAATGCAACAGCTCTTTCATGTTGGAGAAAACAGGCTCACCGTGAATGAGGTCAACTAAACCTTAAACTTACGGCCGATGAGACAGCTGAGAAAGGGCAAGGAAATGATGAATGAAAACGATAAAAGGCTTCAAAAGAATGATAGGTTAAGTTTTCTCTTACATCCCTCGTACATTATCTCTCTAGAAAAACCTCATTACCTTGAACTAACTTGATTGTCGGAATGTCCACTAGGGGACTTCCCCTCATTGGACTGTTTTGCAAGTGTGTTCTCCGAGCTATAAACCCAACAGACCCATTTGAAATGTGGATCAATCTGGCCCATCCATCCTCCGAGTTTACAATATTAACATTTAACAAAAATTAATCAAAATATTTTAGTTATAAAAAATTTTATTACAAAATTAACTTAAAATATTACATAAATAACATCACACAATATTTACACAACTCAATAAAAAAAATTTGGGATAAATTACACCTACACTCTCTAGGTTTGTGCTTAATACAAATTGCTCCCTTAGATTTCAGAAATTACACTTCCCTCCCTAAACTTTAGATTTGCATTACAAATTACTCCCTCCGTTAGTTTAGCTATTAAACCACTTGACAGTTTTTGTTTATGTTAGCAACTAATTATTTATAATGCCAATTTTAGCCCTATCACTCTCCTATCATTTTGATATATGCCCTGTAAGTTTCTTCTTCTATCATCCTCTGTTTCCAAAAATCCACTCAAAAAAAATTAAAAACTGGACAAACAAACAAATAACCAAAACCATTTTGGTTGTCATTCAATTAGAACATAAGAATTCATATGGCACATATTATAAATGGGTACAACTTACAGATTTATATCTTATGAAAAATACTCCATTCTAGAAACAAGTCATTGAATCTTGTATACATTTATCAATTAAAGCATTACAAATATATAAATTTGGGCCGAACGGTGGTCTGTCCAAGCAGTAGGCCTTGTCCTGCCACATCCAAGGGGTGTCTCCTCTGAGCTGTGTCATGCGCCATCCAAGCTGTGAATCTTTCTTCTAAAGTAAAAAATAGAAGACCCACATAATAAACTGGGAAATGATACAGAGCTCTGAATCTAGAGTTCTAATTTGAGCTCTAGTAATGTAGCAAAGGAAAAAAAAAACAAAACAAAACAAGGCACAAATATCACATCATGGGTGGGGGTCAACTCGTTAAAGCTCCTCTAAAGCTCTATATTTAGAACTCCAAATCTTTTTTCAAATAAACTTCACTCTCAGGTTAAAAGTCAATTTATTGATTTTTTTGATTTTTTAAAGTTACATTATTATTTTTTATTTTTTTATACGTTAAAAAAAGAGGTTAAAAAATCAACTTTTAAACTATTTCTCAAAACAATCTTCAATCTTCACCCTACTGAAAAATCAAGAAGAAAATTAAAACAAAATCTGAGGCCAAGCAGAAATGAGAGATATTGTTTGACAACCCAAGCAAACCCTTTGGTATGTACAATAGCAGACCAAAA